CGAACAGCTCTTACAGAGGACATGAGGGAACAGAGCACGACCCCGTAGCACCGAGGTGTCCGTGGAAAAGGCCACTCCTACAAAACGACCGTTTTTATGGAAAGAGAGCTCGACAGCGCCATCTGAGGAGAAAGACTGGGTGTGTGCAGGTGTGAACATGACACACAAACACAAAAAAATGGTTTAAATGAGAGAAAAGTCACTCGAGCGCTAGTAAAGCTGACTGAAAACATAACTCACAGCATAACAGCCGATGATATCCCCCTCCGAAAAAGGCTCTCCAAAGTTCTCTTCCTTTCTATCTGACACTTTTTTACCACGTCCATCATAACAAAAAGAGAGTTCATCCTCACCTGACGTGAAACCCAGAAGGATTCAGAAGCTTTTTAACAAGTAAATCACATCTACAGACAATAAATATAAAAAAAACTTCATTCTTACCCAGCAGCATAGAGGATACGGCCACTGACCAGCCAACTCTCAATCCATATGGCTCCCTGACTTCATGGTCATCTGGCTGTGCAGTCAACAGTTTCCTCTCCAGCCTCACCTCAAAGCCCACCCTGCCCTGCTGCACCCCATGGGTGAGCCTGCAGCCTGACCACAGCAGGGGGAATTGAGCCCAGAACCGCGGCTGGCCAGAGGATCCATCAGGACTCACCTCGAAGTGCAGGTGAGAGCCATCTGAGTAATCGACAAGGAGACTCAGGGAGTCAAATCAAATACACCCTTGGGGGTTAGTCCAGACAAAATTAAAACAAGTAATTCATAAGAAAACTCAAGCGCTGATTAAAATTTGTGTGGGTGTGTTTTCACACATTTATCTAGTCTGACTTTATCTTCATCTTGTTCCTCTGCCTCACTCCTCTCCGCAGGGGGCTGTGGTGATTTGGCTCTGGTTGAAAAAAAAAAGAGACATGTCACATTTAATGATTTAAGAACTTCATTAAATCTAAATCTAAATAAAACACAAAGATAAAGATTCCTTTTATGCCACTGTGCTATGCATTCTGCAGTGAAACTGGATCAGAGCTTATGTTTTAGCAGACGAGCATACATACATTCTTACATGCGTTCACTCATCGTTCATTGCACAGAATAAAATAACAATAATAAAATAGGAAATATTAAAGTATAAATACACATAAATACAGTAAAAATAAAATGCTAATCTGGCCTTAAGAAAAAAAACCTGCTCCATCCACACATGCATACACATAAAAAAATCATTCAAAGTAAGGATTTAAAACATATTCCTAAACAGTGGTGCAGTAACCAGGACCACAATATTGGAAGAGCTTTAAATCCTTCTTCTCTCTTAAACTGAGAAAACCTATTTTAACATGACCTGATTAGCTCACTGAGAGCAACAGATTCCTTCA